CATGTTGCCAAACCCGTTAAAACCTACTTGGAAACGCTCAAATGGGAAGTCCAATCTCACCCGCCATATTCCCCAGATATTGCGCCGTCCGATTATTACTTGTTCCGTTCGATGGCAGATGGTCTCGCTGATCAGCAGTTCCCTTCATATGAAGACATCAAAAAATGGCTTGATACGTGGATAGCCTCACAAGACAAACGCTTTTACCGTAACGGTATTCGAGCTTTGCCAGAAAGATGGGAAAAAGTTGTAGCTAGCGATGGGCAATACTTTGAATGATTCATTTGTAACCATTTTTTCACAATAAAGTTGCATTTTCATTAAAAAAACAGCGAGAACTTAGTTGCGCACCTAATAAAATCAACCCCTTTAGGAAATTCATGCCATATTTACCAAATCACCTTTCAACCCTAATATTTCTAAAAAGATGCTGGGACAACAACGTTGTCTCAAAGTTCCTATAACTAAAAAACCATCACGGTACGACAAAGGCAAACAGTATTCTGTTGAAAATCGCAGCTATGCTAGTAAAGAAGCGCAACTCATACACAAAGATAATGGTTAGTAAAATCTCCTATAAGCTTTTCCAACTCCATCTTTCCTTAGCCTCGACCTTTTGACTGGACTTATGGCTCACACTGGACCACATACAAAGTACAAACAATCGCAAAACACTTACGTATAGTCATCTCGACGACAGATAGAAAAGTCTCACAAACTAACATTACAAAAAGCAGTTACACCTCCTCCTCCAAACACAGTAAAAAACCTATCCAACAAAGCCTTCTTTACAGAAACCATTTCCACCCTCCACAAAGGATCAAACTTTGCAATGACACTAACTAAAATAACTAAGGAACAAATAAATAATCAGATAGAATCTTTCCTGTTCCTCCGGAACACTTTGATGGGGGCATATGAAAACTCTCATTTATGAGACACCTATTGAAATAGAAGCAGAATTGATAGCCCGAATTACTATTCGAGCATATCAGGTTCAGAATATTCCTGCAGTTTTCGAGCGTGTGATAATTTATGTTTCGACAATGTCATCCTTTGTATTGAAGCAAATGAAAGAATTTTTGAATATTTATTATAAATTGAACTACTCAATTGCACATTTTTGTTGTATGCTTTTGTTCATTGTTTGTTAAAGATTAAAATATATATGTGTAATTGAAATAAATTTAATTTTTCCACTTATATGTTTGTTTTTTGTTAAAATCATAAAATTCCTATTTTGCACCTATTTTGTACCTAGTATTAAAACGAAGCGTCTTAGAGAAAAATATTATTAACAAAATATGTTTGTTTTTATGTTTTCTATTCAAAGTTTGTCGGTAATATTTTTACACATGTAGAGTCCCCTGCTCCTGTGGCAAAGTCTATATAGGAGAAACCGGGAGGATGATGAGCTGATTGACTTTAACAAATGTGTAGAAATTAGAAATGCCAATTAGCTCCAACTGGTTGGCAGTTGCACTGAGTAAAATACTTGAAAATGTATTTGTGGTATATAAAATTTCTGTGAAATAAAATTTATTTATATATACTTGTCCCCCTCATTGCATTTTAT